GTATGTGTACATACATATATTATAGTATACATATAATGTATGTATATACAATTCTATATTATAATATTTATATTGTATTATAAGATTAAAAGATATAATTTAAAAGAATTGGAAAATGTCTTTAATATGTATTTTATAATATATGAATTTTTATTTAAAATGTTTTTAATATAAAAGTATAAAAAAAGTAAAGCTAATTGAAGTTACAGACAACGCAAATGTAAATGCTCAAATATTTATAATAGTAAAAATAATAATATTTTCTATTGATTTTCAACGAAATTTTGTTGCATGCTAATTATTCCATAATCTGTTTATATCTAAACCACATACATAGATATCAAATAAGTATCGGGAGTCTGCGCGGGCGCATGTCTACATTCGGCATTTGCATTAGATATTCTGTATTGATCGTCAACTTAATTTCCAAATGATGAAATTATGGACGATCTAACTACGGTCGAGATATGAGTCAGCAGTATGAAATCCTACAGGCCATATACCTTGAGCGGATAGTGTCATGGCACGTGAAATGTCTAGTACCGTCGGTGTAGTCTAATTACGTCAATATCGGATTTCCTCTCTGAACGGACATCGCGTCGTACGTTACTGTACCTGAGGAAGAGCTTTCTCTATTATCTGCTTTCCTTGTCAGCAGGCTGGCACGTCCGATCTATCTCCAATTGCGTGCCCAAAGCCCGAATAAGCTAACCACGGAATCGGATTCGAAATCCGTGCGGATACTCTGCGCCCGAACTTCAAATTATATACAGCCTGTGGGCATCTATCGGGAAAATAGTTTTGTGGGCATTACAAGCTACATAGAACTGGACCCACAAAATACACATATACTCATACATGCAATAAATGAAAAATCAGTCAGACAGCCGAAGCGTTTGAAACATATGAAACATATCAAGCTGTCGTTATAGTTTATTTCCTTTACTGCAGCTTACAATATGTAACTCAGATTTTGTTGAAAAACAAACAATAAAAAGATGATAATATATAGATATATAATAACGTAACATCTGCTGTGAACAAGTTAAACTAAATAGAAGAGTCCTGTGCTGTTTTGCAATTATGATAATAAATAATAAGTTATTAATTATTAAAGATCCATCAATCAATGTGTATTCGAATAATTCGGCGAGAATTGATCCAGCGATTATCGTTACTATGTGCACGACAACTATAAGGAGTTTTTATAAACAATAACGGCTATATACGAATGATTCATGACTCTGGGTATGTGTTGTCATTGTTATTTAGGTACACATCGCTCATCGCAATACCTTGCGCGTAATAACCGCTGAGCTCTAGTGAAACCTATTTCCAGTCTAAATTTTGGAAGCGCATAGTCACTTGATAGATAATATTTCAAAGTATATTGAAAAATAGCGTAAATATTAGTATGTTTTCTGTTTAAAAGATAGATAATTGAAAATAGTATTTTTGACATATATTATACCTTTTATTTTATTTATTGTGAATCATTTATGATATTATGGATCATTGAAGACAATATTTAAAAAGAAAGCAGAAACGTGACGCAAACTGTAAAAAAATTTGGGCAGTATATGCCAAAAGTAGTTGATAAGATTTTATTTCCAAGATTCTTTTGTCCAAGATGCATTACGTTCCGGTCGGCCAGTTGAGATCAACAGCGGTAAAGTAAAGATATTAATTGACACTAATCCATGCCATATGATGTAGGAGATTGCAGACATTCTCGAGGGTAGAAAATCATATGCATCAACTTGGTTACGTTAATCGGCTCGATGTTTTTTTCGCACAAACTCAGTAAAACTAATCCAACACATTAGTAATTTACTTAGAAAACGTTCCATAAGAAAACGTTACTTAAAAAAACAATCCATTATAATTATTTAGATTCTCATACCCCCCTCCAATAAACTTGGGCTTGACATATATTATAAAGGTCACCCTCCTGAGTGACCTGCAACAGGTTTTAACCTGCGGACGTTGTTTGTTAAAAAGTTATTTACAAAACAATGTTGATGATTTATATGTAATTATAAGTAATATCTCACCAAATACTAAAAATTTTGAAATATGTTTAAACAAAAGTTGTAGATCTCTTCGAAATATGCATTTTATGTCCTATTTATTTTTACTGTACGTGTGACAGTTTTCGAGAAAAATGATGGACTCTAAATGTTATATTCTCCCATCCAATTGTCTATTGTCCTCCCATCTAATTGTCTATCTAACTGTCCTCACGCATGTGAAACAGTTACAACGGTGGAAGTACATGCGTGGAGACAGTATATTTCGCCCCCTCCCCCCTGCGAGGGAGGCTCCACTTCGTTAACCCTTAAATGCATGATTTTTGTTTGTTTGATTTTTTTGCTGAATATGATACAACAAAAGGAGTACAATAAGGGAAAAATGAGAAAAAATTTATCTTACTGTTTTTTTTTTCAAGAACAAAAGGGTTGCCGAATGGCAACATCATGAAATTAGAAACATATGAAACATAAGTTATGTATTGCGTATGAAAACTTCTAAAACAGTTATTGTTTTTGTTCAAACATCGATGCCGTACATACATTCAACGCTACCCACCTAGATATCGGTATGTTGCCGAACGGCAACATGATGCAATTAAGGGTTAAGATATAACCTTACCCAAACCATGTCTGAGGTGTGGAGTGGATCTCGCTTCACGTAAGTTGCTTGCAGGAGAGAAAAATTAATCGTGGTTAATGAGTATTCGGCTGATATGAATGCGAGATCCACGCGAAGCGACACCAACCCACACCGACCCCTGTTTTCAGGGCGAAACTAGATCCACTCGTTCCACGCGAAAATGCTAATAAGTATTAAAGAGGATATTTGCTGAAATGAAGATGATAAAATTAAATTCAAATTTATAGAAAATATTCGTCTATGGGAATCTGTCCCCCATGTAAAAGTTTAAGACGATTGTCTGCATGGTTGTCGAATAATTAATTATTAAATTTATAGGGTGAAGTGGGGTGATGTGAAACATGGGGTGATGTGAAACACGGCGATTTCTCGCACCTTACGTGACATATGATTAATATGACATATGTCATCTGGTTTTTTCATACCGCCACATTTTTAAAAGTCACTAGAGTATTCAGACGTAGGTATATTTCGATTCTCGTTGGAACATGTGAAAAATTTTTTTTAAAGTTATTTTCGGTGATCACAAAAATCCTGTTTTTAGACAAATTATTCATCTCATTATAAGGTTATTACAATGTAAGTGTTAGTTTTTTCAATATCTTTCAGAATCTGAAGTGAGTTTGCATTTTCTTACAGAATAATGAGACAAATCAACCGGTGTAAAGAAAACACACAATTGTTTAAAAAAAATTTTTTTATTACTTGTTACAAAATTGTATTTTCTTTACACCGGTTGATTTGTATCATTATTCTATTAAAAAAAGTATTAAGGTAAGATGATAAAAAAATGAATATTTTACAAGATATTTTTTAATTTATGTCAAAATATTGGAACTTTCAAACCTTAATAACTCAAAAAGTTCTTAATAAAAAATACTTTATTATAGCGTTTTGGAACGCTCTTGAGGTCAGCTACAAGAATATGTAATAAAAAATAGGGGATGCCATTTAAAAAAATTGGTGTGACCTTTATGTGACCTTCAAGCAATTCTTCAAGGTAAAACCAATAATACCATCTTATGGCCCCCTCGAAACGAAACAACTTCTGTTTGAAACATTTTTTATTATTTCGCTTACCGGTCGAGTTATTCTCCATTAAATGTTAAAATGGTCCACCCTGTATATTTACATATACCCTGTATATGTAAATATACAGGGTGTATCAGATCACCCGTCCACCTCGATTTTTCCGAAATGTTAAGGGTAATTATTTAGATTAGCACACCCACCTCCAATAACCTTGGGCTTGACATATATTATAGAGGTCACCCTCCTGAGTAACCCTCAGAAGGATTTAGCCGGCGCTCGTTGTTTATTAAGAAGTTATTAAAAAAACAATGTCAACCAATTATATGTAATTTTCAGACACAAATATTAAAAATTTTGAAACATGTTTTAAACAAAAGTTGTAGATCTCTTTGAAATATACATTTTACGTTCTATTCATTTTTACTGTGCGAGTAATAGTTTTCGAAAAAAATGAACTCTCAATCTTATATCTCTCCTCCCATCTCCATCTGTCGTACGTCATGGAAGTACATGCATGGAGACAGTATGTTCCGCCCCCCCTACGGGGGGGCACCACTTCGTTAAAAATAACCCTACCCACCCTATGTCAGAGGTGTGGAGTGGATCTCGCTTCACGTGGAAAGTCGAAAACCCATGTTGTGTCGCTACATTTCGTCGGTATGACAGATTTCCTAACTCTAAAAGTTGTCAACTTTAACAATTAATATCTCGCTT